TATCTTACCAGCAAATCATAGTATTTCGTGTTAATAGATAGCCCTTCTGCTAGAGTCTTGTACAAAGGGAAGCCAGGACGAGGCACGAGGATGTTCTGGCCAGGGCAACAAAGGGCGGTGATGCAGAGGTCAATTGCACAGCTGCAACCCGAGCAGAGAATGATGTCCTGCAGAGAGAGAGAGAGAGAAAGGGAAGGGTTGTTAGAAAGGGGAATTATTGTGGGGGTCGAGGGGGGTGGGGGGTGGGAGGGGGTGATGGGGCGTGGTGGTGGTGACTGGATTGTCTTATGGAGGTGTTGGTGATGATTGGGGTGATAAGGTGTTGTAATGGTGTCATGGTAGCGGTGTTGGTGTTGATGGCTGTTGTAATAGTAACTACGAAAGGTGAATACTTGGTTGTGATGATGATGATGATGTTTAATGATGATTCCAAACTTAGCGATGGTTGTGGTTACAGAGATGGTGGTAGTGTTGAGAATTTCGGTGATATTGATGGTGAGGAAGGTTCTGTGGTTACTACTGGTTGTGGTGATGGTGAAGATAGTGAATGTCTCGGTAATGAGATATTAAGTGCAAGTTCGATAGTGATAGTGATCAGTCTACCTGTTCTTCGTTTTGCCTATCTATCTATCTACCTACATATCTACCTGTCTACCTCTCTATCTATTTCCCAGCATATCTACAAGCCTATCTATCTACCTCTCTATCTACACCCTTACCTATCTACCTGCCTAACTACCTACCTACCCACTTACCTATCAAGCCTCCCCACCTATCCATCTATCCATCTATCCACCAATCTATCACTCTGTCAACCCCACGCTCTTATGATAAACAAAACCACTGAAACGAAAAAGGGCATCTGTTACTTAACCCTGAGATACTGAGATAAAAAGTTGCTGAATCCTAAACAGGCATATGACAATTCCGCTAACTGCCTAGTGATAGATAAGATGATAGATAGCTTGTAATAAATCGTGTGTAAATTACATATATGATATATAGGTCTGTCTCCCTCAAGGTTATGTGCTATGACCATATATGTATACAGGACTAAAAAAAATATATATATGCAAATAAGGTCGATAAGGATCTAAGGCATAGATTACGAATGGAATTGGTAAGTTGGTTAATTATTATGCTGATAAATTTACAAACTAAGAACATCAAAAAAATACTTTTTGGGTTTGTTGTTATTCGTGTTTCGTGGAATTTAGAATTTGTAATTAAGATCTGTATATAAGCATCTTTATATAAGATCGTAAGTACATATTCTCCAGTCTTTAACCTACCATTTCGCACGCATGATCATAAATTATCTATACGTAGAGGCTTAGAGACAATTATGCTATGGACAGGCGAGTGACCTGGTACCTGCTTCGATAATGATCCTGAGCACGATTAATTAACTCTCCTTGCTATAATGATCTGTTTTTAGTTCGTTTTGCCAGATTAGCTAACTTGGCATATTACTTTCTTCATAATCAATGCATTGCGTCAATTTTTCCGAAGACGAAGGTTCATATACACCACAATCTAATTGCTTTTAACGACGCGTCAATTGGCAAAAGCATGTGATAATAAGCCCATTGTAATTGCAAGTTTTATAGCCTTACATCATTATACTAATACCCTGTCAAGTTCAATAATCATTCATGTCATCACCTAATGACTCATTCGGCTGTTGGATGTTGCTTACAAGTATAAGTGTCGTTCTCTGTAGCTTTTATCTCCGTGTTTGTCTGTGACTCGTAAGACAGGGAACAGGTTTCGGATCGATGGTGACCGAAGCAGAGTATATTAGCGCAGAATGATCATCACTGTTCCTTTGCCCTTTAAAGAAATAAGATTTTAAAAATGCGTATTCATTAACTCAACACGTTAATTTGACGTTGTTGTTGGTATGTATGGTGACTGTTTCGGTTTTATAAGGTAGATAAAGACATGGAGTTCTAGTGTTTCGAATAGAATTTCGAGTAGTTTTGACTGGCGTGTCGACTCACTTTGACGGAGACAAGTGGTGGGAGTGCAAGCGATCTGTGACAGGATAATGTTGACAGTAGTGGCATACATAGTGGCTCGGAAACGCTGTCATTTGTTTCAATACTACGTTGTTTGTGTTTTTTTCTTCTTCTTCTTTTCCTATTGTACGGTTATATCCTTTTTATTATTTACCTCATCATGTTTAAATGTCTCTTTAGTTTTTTTTTTATTATTCTGTTTTATTCGCTATTTTACCTCATCCTTCTTCCTTAAGGATACGCTGGTTTAGTTGTTAACACAGTATCTTCTGTTTTATTAGCACCTTATCCCAAACCAATGTATTTTTAGTAATGGCGAGTTTGAAAGCATCATGATTTACCCAAATGTCCGTAATTGTATAGATAGAAGAGGGAAGTTTCGCGATAAAAAGAAAGGAAAAGAGTGAAAGATAACTCCCTTCCAGAATTGGCCAAACAAAAAGAAAATTATCGTAATGGATAAGAAAAAAAAATAGAAATAGAGGAAATTATGGCTTTATTTACTTTCCTGTCTACTGCTTTGCATATCTATCTACTGTGTTGTTTGTTTTTGTATATAGAAAGAGATAGATTTCATATATCGTCCATGTACATACATGCAAACATACATATATACTGTATACGTGTGTGTGTGTGTGTGTGTGTGTGTGTGTGTGTGTGTGTGTGTGTGTGTGTGTGTGGCACCATCCCATCTCATCACATGCGTTTATCATATGTCTTTATTAATAACCTTTCCGTTGGTGCCGCGGTCAAGGTCAGCGCCTTCGTGTGACAGTGCCATAATAGGCCCTAGGCTTATTCGGCCGAGTGCCAAGCATACAGGGTGCCACAAAGGGTATGGGCGCGCGTGCGGGCGAGTAATGATACATGGGGAGATTGTGAGAGGAGAAGGGGGGAGAAAGAGAGAAAAAAATGAAAAGAATGATGGAAAGAGAGAAGAGAGAGGGAGAGGGAGAAGGGAGGGGGGGGGGGCAGAAAGACAGACAGAGAGAGACAGGCAGAAAGACAATAAAGAAAAAGGGAAAGAAAAATGAGAGAGAGAAGAAAGAAAGGAAAAGAGCTGGAGGAAAGAGGAAAATATATATGAACAAAAAGTAGTAAAATAAGAAATACACAAGAAATGGAAAGAAAAACGATCACGATTATAATTAAAATCTTAATATACATCCAAAGTTATCCCCACTCCCCTCCTCCTCCCTCCCCCCTCCCCCTCATCGCCATCCTCCCCTTCCTCCCCCTCCTCTCCCTCCCCCTCCCTCTCCTCCTTCCTCCCCCCTTCTACTCCTCTCCCTTCCCCTCCCCCCTTCCCCCTTCCCCTCCCCCCTTCCCCCTCCTCCTCTCGACCCCTCCTCTTTCCCCTACTTCTTCCCCTTCCTCCTCCTTCCCATTCCTCCATTTCCCCTCTTTTCTTCCTCCCCCCTCATCCTCCTCTCCCTTCCTCCCCCCCTTCTTCATCCTCCCCCCTCTTCCTTTCCCCCTCCTCATCCTTCCCCCCTTTCCTCCTCCCCATCCTCCCCTCCCCACCCCCCCCTCCCTCCTCATCCTCCTCCCCTCCCCTTCCTCCACCTTTCCTCCTCCCCTCCCTCCTCCCCTTTCCTTCCCCCTCTTCCCCTCCCCTTCCTACCCCCCTTTCCTCCTTCCCCTCCTCCCTTCCCCACCCCCCCCCTCCCTCCTCCTCCTCCTCCTCCCCCTTCTCCCCTACCCCCCCCCTTTCCTCCTCCCCTCCCTCCTCATCTTCCTCCCCCTCCTCCCCTCCCCTCCCCCCCCCCTTCCTCTCCCCCTTTCCTCCTACATCTCCCCAACCACCCATAAGGAAGGTATGAAAGCACGCCAGCAACTTGCCTATATAACACACAGTGCCAAGCGTGAGAGTGCCAAAGCGAGGGCCATGCCTTCCACGCCCCCCCCCCCCCCCCAGGAAGCCTCCGGAGTCAGGTCACGGTGGCTGAGAAGGATTTATTTTTTTATTGTTTTTGTTGTTTTCTATCTTTGTTTTTTGTTGTTGCAGTTGCTTGTTGTTTGCTGTTTTTTGTTGCTTTGTTTTTTGTTTTGTTTGTTGTTTACGTATTCTGTATTGTTTTTTGTTTGTTTGTTTTTCGTTTGTTTGTGTTGTCAGATATTTTGAAAAGAAAAGTGGTCTTGGGTGTATAGTTACGTAATGATGATTGTAATAATAATGTTGGTAATGATGATTTTCTAAATATGATAATGATCATTTTGATTCTATTGATAACTACGATTAATATTATGATAATATTGGTAATGTTTCTATTCATTCAATAGTGATGATGACGAGGATAATTATATTGATGATGATGATGATGATGATGATGATGATAAAGATGAAGATGATAATGATGATAATGATAATAATAATGGTGATGTTAAAGATGAAGATGATAATGATGATAATGATAATAATAATGGTGATGATAAAGATGAAGATGATAATGATAATGATAATAATAATGGTGATGATAAGGATGAAGATGATGATGATGATAAAGATGATGATAATGATGATGATAATGAAAATGATAATAATAATGATAATAGTAATGGTGATGATAAGGATGATGATAATGATGATGATGATGATAAAGATAATGATAGTGATAATTATAAGGCTAATAATAATGATAATGATAATGATGATAAAGATGAAGATGATGAAGATGATAATGTTAATGATAATAAAGAGCATGAATATTTGAAGGACCCTGACGATTTTGACATTTCACTATAAAGAAAGCGCATCTGCATTATATCTTAGACGTTCACCTTTATCAATTATCTCTTTTTAACATTTATCGTTTACTTACCTTCGCCTCGAGTTCAACAACGCCGGGAACGGAGACGTATTTTGCAACAGCCTCCCTCGACTCTACGAAACCTGCAAATTGCAATTATTAAAGAAGTTAGCTTCGATTTTCTGTTTATGTGGTAATGAATTGTATTTTTCTGCAAGTTTTTTTTTTTAAGTTTTTGTAAGTTTTATTTCTGTTTATGGAGTAGTTAAGCATTTTTTTCTGTAAGTTATGGTACATTCCTGTTATTAATAAACGGAATCTAAATGAAATATGAAGCATATGTATATATATATATATATATATATATATATATATATATATATATATATATATATATTGTAGTTTTTTCTCTTGCTCACTTTTCAGTTTTCTTTTTTGTAAATTAAAATTCTTTCTATATCAATCAATTCATCCACGCAAATAGGTTTATTTATTTATCTAAGTATCCCATTCTTTCTTTGTCTCTCTTAAATATATATATATACATCCATCCTTGAGTATAAGGAAGCGTAAGCTATTTAGTGGCTATTATATGCAAGACGGAAAACCTGTTTATACTGGTTCAAAGCGGTCTGAGGAACAGGCAGTGAGATCGAACTCTTTTTTAACTGATGCTTTTCTCTTTCCGGAATTCTATAAACAATAAGGTCTTTATTTTCTGGGTTTTTTTAATGTTTAGTTCTATTTCCTTTTTCTTTTCCGTCAATGTAACAACTATACTTATATTTCTAAAAAAGATATATGAATAGTTCGATCATAAATATTAATTTCTAGAATGTTAAACGAACTAAAAAAAAAAAAAAAAACATTAATCACTTCTACATCATAGATTGGTTCTTGAACAATGAACAGTAGTATAGTGGTTAGAAATATCCCGGGTACTAGAGACGGGAACTTAAACTGGAGGAAAAAAATGATATAGTCTCTGGTAGTTTGGTGCTTGAGGCCTTTGGACTCGGTAAGTTCAGACAGGGTCAAGGCAGAAGGAGAGGCAAGCAGGTGGAAGGGGGGGTGGGGGGGGTAAGAGAGAGAGGAGAGGCAGATGGATAGACAGGTAGATAGAGGGATTGGCACACACGAATACTCGTATACACTCATAATTTCATACACACACATATACTCACACACACACACACACAGATACACACATACACACACACACATGCACGCATAGAAAGAGAGAGAGAGGGGAGAGGAGAGAGAGAGAGAGAGAGCCAAACAGACAGGCAAACTGAGAGAGAAAGAGACAAGAGGCATTACCCAAACAAAATACCAAAGCTTCCATTATATTCATTCTGGCATCTTAAAACGTTAAACACGAGCCATAACAAGACTAAAAATAACTCAGGAGGAAATTCATGTCAACAGGAAACAAAAAAAAAGCAACGCAGAAGATGCCAATCCACAAATTGTCATGAGTTTGTTCTTGCCATTTAGTCAACAGCCTTAAAGGACACTGTGGTTGCCATGCGAGTTTCGGGAGGAAAATAATAGGAAAAAAGAAGCGATTTATTGCTTATACTTTACTTCCTTTTATTTATTTTTTATTTATTTTTTATTTTTTATTTTTATTTTTTTGCTTTTTCATGGTGTTCGTTTCCTTTAATTTACTACTCAGTAAGGATTATTATCTTTCACGCTATTCAACTTATTATTTCTTCTCATTCTGTTTATTTCTCGTAATGATTACTTTTCTCTATATTCTATTTTATATTCTTATTCTATTCAATTCTATTCTTTTGAAAAATAATCTTCGTCTTACCTGTGCTTGGTCCGTATCCATTGTATTTCCCACTGCGGATGGATGTGACTACGGCTTCGGTAATTTCTTCAGCGGGTTTGAGGTTTCCGAACACAGTGGGGTCGCCTGCAAAGAAAGGAAGGGAAAAAAAACATGATTTATCGTCATATTTGAGATTATTTTAACTGTAGAAGGAAAGAAAGGGTAGAAAAATTATTGTGCGTTCGTGTTCATTCTCTTATTATAAAGAAATATGTCCGATTTTCTGAAGTTGAATGAACAAATATATTTATAAAAGAAAAAAAAACGAAATGTTATAAATGTCCAGAGAACAAAAGATGATCGAATTGCGCTGATGCCAGATGTCCATCCGTGCCGGCGCTGAGAGACAGTGGCGCGGCGTCAGGCAGAAACCCTTCCCCCCCTCTCCCCCCCTTTACCACATTCCCCCTCCCCCCCTCCCCCCCTCTCCCCCCTTCCCCCCCCTATGCAACTCTTCAACCTTCTCCATCCTTAGAGTTGCTTTACGATCCCCGCCCCCCACCCCCCTCCCCCCATCTCCCTGCAACAACACCTTGTTATTACCCTTAGCTCCCCTTCCACCCCCCCCCTTTCTCTCTTCTTCCATCTTCTCTCCTCCGCCTCCCTCCCCCCTTTATTCCATTTCTCTTCTCCCATACTCCTTCTTTCTTCCACTCTCTCCTTCCCCTTCCCCCATTTCTCTTTTTCCTCTATCCTCTTCTCTCTCCCCTTCTTTTCTCTCCTCTCCTTCCCTTTTTCTCCTCTCCTCCCTCTTCTCTTCTCCCTCCCCTTCTCCCCTTCCCTCTACCCATCTTCTCCCCTTCCTTTTTCCCTTCCCACCTCTTCCCTCACCCTGCCCCTCACCTGCCCCTTCCCTCTCTTTCCCTTATTCCACTTCTCTTCCCCTTTCCCCCTCTCCCCCTCCTCCCTCTTCCGCCCCTCCTCCCTCTCCCCCCTCTTTATCCTATCTGCCTTCTCCCCCCACCCCTCCTCATCTCCTCCTCCCTCTCCCCCATCCTCCCATACACCCTCCTCCCTCTTCCCCCCTACCCCCTCTCCTCACCCCCTCCTCCTCCTTCCCCCCCACCCCTCCTCACCCCCTCCTCCCTCTTCCCCCTCACCCCCTCTGCCCTCTCCCCCTCATCACCCCTTCCTCCCTCTTCCCCCCACCCCTCCTCCTCACCCCCTCCTCCCTCTTCCCCCCTACCCCTCCTCCTCACCCCCTCTTTGCCTTCATCTCAACCCCATTAACCCCATCATTACCCTTAGGCCGCCATATAGACCGCAGCACAAGACCGTGTTGGAGTTGGTGCTGTTGCGTCACAAGCCACACAACCGGCCTTTGGCTTCGCTTGGCGTGGGCTGAGGAAGGGTGGGGGGAGGGGGGGTGGAGTGAGGGGAGTGGGGGGGTGAAGGTAGGTGGGGTCAGGGGAGTGGTAGGTGGTGGGAGTAGGGGGGAAGGTAGGTGGGGTGAGGGGAAGGTAGGGTGAAGGTAGGTGGGGTTAGGGGAGTGGTGGGGTGAGGGGAGGGGGGGGTAGGTGGTGGGGTTAGGGGAGTGGGGAGGGGGAAGGTAGGTGGGTGGTGGAGTGAGGGGAGTGGTGGTGGGTAGGGCCATAGGGAGATGGGGGGTGTTGACAAGGAACTTTAGGGCCAAGTACGTATGTTGATAAAAGCACGTGAGAATTTTTTTTTTTAAATAACAGTAAAGAAATTTGTAGATGATTATGATTATATTTTGATTTTGATTACAGCTGCATCAGATAGACAGTATCATACACACACACACACATATATATATATATATATGTGTATGTATGTATATACATATATGTATATATATATATATATATATATATATATATATATACATATATATATATATATATATATATATATATATATATATATATATATATATATATATATATATATATATATATGTATGTATGTATGTATATATATGTGTATATATATGTATGTGTGTACATATCTAAATATATGTATATGTGTATGTATATACATATATGTGTGTGTGTGTGTGTACATATATAAATATATGTATATGTGTGTATATATACATATGTGAGTGTGTGTGTGTGTGTGTGTGTGTGTGTGTGTGTGTGTGTGTGTGTGTGTGTGTGTGTGTGTGTGTGTGTGTGTGTGTGTGTGTGTGCATATGTTTATATATATATGTGTGTGTGTGTGTGTGTGTGTGTGTGTGTGTGTGTGTGTGTGTGCGTGCGTGTGTGTAAACATAAAAGTGCGTGAGAGAGAGAGAGAGAGAGAGAGAGAGAGAGAGAGAGAGAGGGGGGGGGGTTGGGAGAGAGAGAGAGAGAGAGAGAGAGAGAGAGAGAGAGAGAGAGAGAGAGAGAGAGAGAGAGAGAGAGAGAGAGAGAGAGAGAGAGAGAGAGAGACAGACAGACAGAGAGAGACACAGAGAGAGACAGACAGAGGCAGAGACAGAGACAAACAGACAGACAGACAAACAGAACAGAGAAAGACATATGATATATATAACAGACACACACTTCATTGCCCTTGACATCATTTTATTCAATTTGCAGACTCGTGCCAATCAGAATTCTTGATTAGTGATTTGGCGATTGTGCGGCGCGGTGCTCTGATTACTTTCCGTTATATCATCACGGGGTATGCGCATGGTTCGCTCCCTTCTCCTCTTTATGTCTTTGTGTCTGCCTGTCTGTCTGTCTTTGTTGTCTGTTTGTGTCTCTGTCTGTCTACCTATCTATCTCCTTCTCGCTCTCTCTCTCTATCTGCCTGTCTATCTGTCTATCTATCTATCTATCTGTCTGTCTGTCTATCTATCTAACTATGGAGAGAGAGAGAGAGAGAGAGAGAGAGAGAGAGAGAGAGAGAGAGAGAGAGAGAGAGAGAGAGAGAGAGAGAGAGAGAGAGAAATAGTTAGATAGATAGACAGATGGATAGATAGATAGATTCGTATGTGTGCATGTGTATTTATGTGTAACTTGTTTATGTGAATCTTGAGAAACATTTTGCCCACTCAAACATACAAGTAAAAGTAAAAAATGATATTAATAATGATAATAATTAAACAAATAGATAAAAGACGAGGAAGAAGAAGAAATAAAGTATTGTCCGCTGTATTGATCAAAACCTCGTTCTCAACACTCTAATTCCAGTACGATGATTAAAAAAAAAAAGATCATAAAAGAAAAAAAAAATTACGTCATCAAAAAAGCCGACAGACAAAAGTGAATTTGTTATAAGTGTTCCAGAGTTTGAACTGAGATTATGTAATACTTTTTTTGGGGGTGTCAAGACTATGAGAACTTTTACTAGTCCGAGGAAATTCGTGAGGGTTTAAAGCGTGAAGTTGCTAAAAAAAATGTTGAAATGTAGTTATTGCTGTGAATACGAAAGAGGAA